CTTCAGAGCTTCAAACACAAAGTCTGCGGAGAGGAGACCCTGCACAAGTACAGATGACACGGTTAAACATGCGGATTCCAACGACTAACGGTTGCATTTAAGCGCGAACAGCAGTTAAAACCCTAAGCTTGCGGCCCAGACTTACCGTGCACGATACCGTGCTAAGGCGCCTCACGTACGTCGCAGCCTCGTTAGAGCTGAGGCCGCGCAGTCCTTCAGAGCTTCAAACACAAAGTCTGCGGAGAGGAGACCCTGCACAAGTAAAGATGACACGGTTAAACATGCGGATTCCAACGACTAACGGTTGCATTTAAGCGCGAACAGCAGTTAAAACCCTATGCTTGCGGCCCAGACTTACCGTGCACGATACCGTGCTAAGGCGCCTCACGTACGTCGCAGCCTCGTTAAAGCTGAGGCCGCGCAGTCCTTCAGAAGCTTCAAACACAAAGTCTGCGGAGAGGAGACCCTGCACAAGTACAGATGACACGGTTAAACATGCGGATTCCAACGACTAACGGTTGCATTTAAGCGCGAACAGCAGTTAAAACCCTATGCTTGCGGCCCAGACTTACCGTGCACGATACCGTGCTAAGGCGCCTCACGTACGTCGCAGCCTCGTTAGAGCTGAGGCCGCGCAGTCCTTCAGAGCTTCAAACACAAAGTCTGCGGAGAGGAGACCCTGCACAAGTAAAGATGACACGGTTAAACATGCGGATTCCAACGACTAACGGTTGCATTTAAGCGCGAACAGCAGTTAAAACCCTATGCTTGCGGCCCAGACTTACCGTGCACGATACCGTGCTAACCCGCCTCACGTACGTCCCAAATCGAATTCGTCCATGCAACCTCCGAACGGCATTATGCCACGAAACCCCACAAGAGCATCCGTCCATGCAAGCGCACAAACCAAATTGTGCCAGGCCATGTCCCCCGAACCGCATCATGCCAGGCCATGTCCCCCAAACCCGCATCATGCCAGGCCATGCCCCCCAATCGCATCATGCCAGGCCATGCCCCCCGAACCGCATCATGCTAGGCCATGCACCCCAAATCGCGTTGTGCCAGGCGATGCCCCCCAAATCGCATTGTGCCAGGCCATGCCTCCCAATCGCATCATGCCAGGCCATGCCCCCCAAACCCGCATCATGCCAGGCCATGCACCCCAAATCGCGTTGTGCCAGGCGATGCCCCCCAAATCGCATTGTGCCAGGCCATGCCCCCCAATCGCATCATGCCAGGCCATGTCCCCCAAACCCGCATCATGCCAGGCCATGTCCCCCGAACCGCATCATGCCAGGCCATGCCCCCCGAACCGCATCATGCCAGGCCATGCCCCCCAATCACATCATGCCAGGCCATGCCCCCCAATCACATCATGCCAGGCCAGGCCCCCCAATCACATCATGCCAGGCCATGTCCCCCAAACCCGCATCATGCCAGGCCATGCCCCCCAAACCCGCATCATGCCAGGCCATGCACCCCAAATCGCGTTGTGCCAGGCGATGCCCCCCAAATCGCATCATGCCAGGCCATGCCCCCCAATCGCATCATGCCAGGCCATGTCCCCCAAACCCGCATGATGCCAGGCCATGTCCCCCGAACCGCATCATGCCAGGCCATGCCCCCCGAACCGCATCATGCCAGGCCATGCCCCCCGAACCGCATCATGCCAGGCCATGTCCCCCGAACCGCATCATGCCAGGCCATGTCCCCCGAACCGCAGCATGCCAGGCCATGCCCCCCAAATCGCATTGTGCCAGGCCATGTCCCCCAATCGCATCATGCCAGGCCATGCCCCCCGAACCGCATCATGCCAGGCCATGTCCCCCAAACCCGCATCATGCCAGGCCATGTCCCCCGAACCGCATCATGCCAGGCCATGCCCCCCGAACCGCATCATGCCAGGCCATGCCCCCCAATCACATCATGCCAGGCCATGTCCCCCGAACCGCATCATGCCAGGCCATGTCCCTCGAACCGCAACATGCCTGGCCATGTCCCCCCAATCGCATCATGCCAGGCCATGCCCCCCGAACCGCATCATGCCAGGCCATGCCCCCCAATCGCATTGTGCTAGGCAAAACCCCAAACCGCACTGCGCCCGGCCACCCCAGGCCCCGACAGCATCCGCCCAGGTACCTCCCAGATCATTTTGCATGGGCCCATTACTGGAAGTTCAGTTGCGCAAGTCTTCGTGCTGCATTGATTCCATTTGACC